TCAGCAATGTATTTTCCAGCAATAACAGGGAGATTATAAAAAAAACCAGCACTCTGAGGTACACAGCCTGCTTGAACACTTCAGGGACTCCACCATGTGAGTTTATTTCTATTTAAGCGTTTGCCTATCAAAGCCAATTTTTGCCCCAGGCAGCCCCAACTGCAAATGCTGAAGGACATCAGCTGCTTACCAACACTGAATGAATTTCTAAGGCCAGCAAAAGAGAAATATAAAGTAATTACCAGACAATACATCTTTGCTTATCCCCCCAAATGATATGATGTACCAATCAGTTCCTTTACTTTGCCAGAAACAGGAAAGAAATATTTCACAGAGAAACCTTCGGGAATTCCTAAGACTGAAAACAACTCCATACCAAATCTCTCAAGTGTTCTGCTCACCAACTGCAAATTCATCTAAATTTCATTCAAATTTTCAAACTCCATTCTCTGTGCAATACAGCTTTTACAGACTTACCACTGTTAGCTGTCTTAATTTTTATCTCACTTGCATAAACACCCTTCCATCACATCGACCTGCACACACAGAACAAGCACAAACATACAACTCTCAATTCGTGAGCATATTGCTCAAATCCAGATTTACATGGATGACCACACACAAAAAGGGTAGAGAGGGCCTGGATGGGTCTAGAGATTTATTTCCTCCCTTCACCCAGTCGTCCCTTCCCTCACCTACCAAGCCAAAGGCTTTTCAACACCATGTTATCAGCACTGTTTCTTGGTGGTGCTCCAGAAAACATGTGCTGGTACTGCTGGATGGCTTTCTGGAAAGAGAGAGCTCTCTAAAGTCAAGGCTGCTCACCAGGGCTGTGCTAAACTGAGTACTGCATTATTAACAGAATCCAGGCTTTGTGTCTCAGCCTGAGACACGCCTGCTTCCCCTGGCAAACCTCCTTCAGGTCCCCTGGCTTGTCCTGCAGGATGAGGACAAAGCTGCCCGTGGAAGGCAGGGAAGGTGGCAGCTCTGGGGCAGGATCACTTGTTCTCACTGGAGCACCACACGTGGGCTGAACTCTGTTCTGCATCTCAGCTGAGCAGCCAGGGCTGGGGGAGGCTCTGGATGAGCAGAGATGGGGAGAAGCACCTTCACTGCCTGCACAAGGGGAGCTGCAGGACAAGGCAGAGCTGCAGACTTGCTTGTCTCTCTGGACATGGCACAGGCAGGCAGCTGCACTCCCCACCTCCCCAGGACCAGGCACCTCTGGCAGCTTTAGGAGAGGACAATGTGACAATTAAGTCACTTCTTGTGCTGGACGCCATCACCATGGCCAAGGTGAGCCTTGTTGGGGGCATGGCTGCAGCACAGCAGGGGCTGCCAACACTGAGTGCTGCCTGCACCCACCCTGCCAGCAGTGTGTGACTGCTGCCTGCACCCCTGCACCCACCCTGCACTGCTGACAACACTCCAGCAGAGAGATCTGCTGCAAAAATAACAGCCAAACAGCCCAAGTGTTCCACATGGACCTTTCCCTGACTGGCAGGTGACAAGCCACAGGTTTACAGCGAGTTCCACAAGGATGCATGACTTGCATGGGTGTGCCAAAATACAGCTTTAACCTTTCACTTTTTTCCAACACCTAGACATCAGACTGAAATATTCTGCAAAGAAAACAGCACGACTTTCCAACACCCACCAATGTCCTGCTGACACCTCGGGATGAACATTCCATTTAAAAAACATTCCCAAAACACCTTTTTACCTCACCTCATATCAATGTTCAGCTCAAAAGAGTTATGAAAATGACTGAACGTACTTTTTAATTACTTCACTTCTCAGCATCTGCCACTAAACCAAGCACATTTACTAAACTGTCATACCTTGACAGGGGGTCTCAGAGGGTTGAGGAGCAAGAGGTTTGGACAGGGAATGCACAGGGAGCAGCTACAAGGAACAAAGTCTCACAGCTTTACCCAATTCAGCTGCTGCCAAAAGAAGGGTCTCGGCTTCCTGGAGCCCTGTCTGCACCCTCTGCCTTGGGTCAGCTCCAGCATCTCTCTGACAAGGATGAGCTGGAGCAACTCACCAGTCCAGCCCCAAACAACCCTCCCTCTTCTCCCTCCTTCTGGCAGGTTTTGTTTCTGCCAGAGCAGTGAGTGCAGGTGGCTGCAAGGTGTTGGTGGGAGCACGTGGAAGTGGAAGGGTGCTGTGCCTCACCTGTGCAACAGGGCAGATGCAGAGCCTTCCTTTTGGCAGCACTGGCATCTTTACTCAGATTAAACCAAGTGTAGGAGGACATCTTCCTTCTCCCTCCAGATGCACTGCAGCCTGGGAGAAGGAAGGGGAGGATGGAGAAGCTGGAGCAGTAAAACAAAGCTCCCAGCACAGCAAAGCTCCAGCACAGCACTGTCAGGGCCTGCAGAGCAGCACAGCAGACCTGAGGGCTTGCACCCTGCTTGGCTTGGCTCCCCCAGAGCCTCTCTGGAGGCCAGACCCTGCACTTCTCCCCCATCTCATATTTATCTGTCCCAGACTATGGGTCCCTCCCAAAGCAGAGCAGGGAGATGTGGGAAAGCAGCCAGGGCCTGCCAGCACCAGCACCCTCGGGGGAGCACACAAACTGACCCACGACCAGCATGGAGGTGGAGTAAAGCTGTTCCTCCTCCAAGCAGAGCTGGCTAGGCCCTTGACCTCAGTTCCAAAGTAGTACACTGCTCAAATTTTAATTTTACTGGGGGTATGGGGGCAGACAACAACAACATGATGACAGACACAGAGCACAGCAAATACCTGGTGTCCTCATATCAGCATTTACTCATTAGACAATTAAGCTCAGCTAATTAAGAAGCAGTAAAGCATCTCTGTCCCCTCTGCCTTGTTGGACCTATTGGCTCAACACTTCTCCTCTCCACAGGCACCAGAGACACCCACCATTGCCTCTGGAGAGTGCCATTCACAGCTGCAGCATGTACCAACTGCAATGAAAATCAAGGCATTTTCCTTGCTTCCTTTTAAGACACCCTCAGTATCTTAAGTCAAACTAAAACCAGATTTCTCCCTATTCTGTTCTTGCTCTCCTTCACTGTGACCCAACAGGCTGTGGTCAGCCCTGCCAGTCTCTCATGCACTGGCTCAGGCAAAACTCAGCATTCACCTACATGGACCATCTGAACCAAAAAGGTGGGATCAAATCCAGCAGGATTTATCAAAACCTCGGCAGCTCACAGAAATCAACTTTCAAAGCAGCCCAGTTTTCTGGGTTTCATCTGCTTCCAGGGTGGAAGTCACAGTAGTGGTCCTCGGTGCTGCCACAGCAGGAGCCTCCAGAGCAGCAGGCACTGCTCACCCTGCACTGGGTGCATCCCCCGAGGCTGGGAGCACACGTGCAAGCAGGGGCACCTGCAACAGCCAAACTGAGAAATACCAAAATCTATCCCCAACACAGATTGCCCACATTTGCTCCTGCAGCCCTGGTCACACCCTCAGCTTTCCCAGGCCACTGGAAACACCTCCTGGAGGCTCAGGACAGGTAACTTGTTCTTACTCTTGCATTTTATTCCTCAGTCTCTCACTGCAAACCACGGGAGCGTTGAAGGGAACACTTCCTGCAGCTGGTGTGTTCCAAGCCCCACGCAGCTTCTGCAGCCCTCTGGAGGGAACCACAACTGCCCTCAGCAGCATCCTCAGCTGCCAAGGAGCACCGAGCCAGGTGCCAACACTGCAACACATCGGCGGTGATCCATCAGCTTCCTTATCAGCGCTAGACGGGAGAAGGAAGGCAGTAAGCACTGCATTCAGCCTCCTTTGTCTGGGCACAAAAGCGTGGAGGAACTCTGCCGCTGCAGTTTACAGAAAGGTTTTCCCGGTAGAGAGGTTGCTGCTCACTTAGCCACCTCCACTGGCCGGCCCAGGTCTCTCTCCCAGACAACGAGGGCAGCCCTGCAACTCCTTCCCTCCCTGCAGAGCACCCCAGTTCCTCGCCAGAAGCACACTGAGCCAGCGACCGAGGTGACACACGGCTCCATGCTCAGGAACGCGCACGGCCGGCAGCACACAGCACGGGGACAACCGTTCCCTCAGAGGCCTCGGGTGGGGCTGGCTCTGGCTCATCCGCACCCCCTCACCTTCCCAGGCCTGCGGGAGCTCTGACATCCCCTGCAGAGCTCTCCCCCGAGCGGGGAACGATCCAGCCCTCCCGAGGGCTGCCCGGCCCGCAGCTGCCGCTCGCCGCGCAGGAGCCGGGCACGCTCCGCCGTCAGCTTTTCACGGGTGTTTCCAGCCTTTGCCATCCAGTACAAAGACAGGCAGACAGGGAGCCTAAGCCTAACTACTGCGGCTACAAAACACGTGCCCTCATCCGCATTTCAAGAACATACACATTTCAAGAAGTTACTTTTCTTCGATAAAAAAGCGGCAAAAATTCAGGAGGTGACCAACAGGCCGACTTAACCTCAGCAGGGGCCGAGGGCTCCTGTCCTTCAAACTCCCCTGTGTGCTGAGCAGACCCTGCGAGGCCTCGCGGGGCCTCTGCAGACAATGCTGGGCCCCCACAGGTACTCCGAACGAGCACAAAGATTTCACTGAACGAAGCACTAAGAACTCGTGATGATGGCACCAGCCATACTCATCATCTACAAAAGTTACCACAGACAGAGCAGGATCGCAAACACCACATGCTCTGGGATGCTAGAAGCTAGCAGAGAGACTTCAGCAGCCCGTGAGGAAGGGGGACAAACGAGAGTCACTGCAACCCCCGAGTGCACAAGCAGCTCTCGTCACACTTCAGACACTTGTTTCCCAACCGCACACGAAAGGGAAGCATCACACATCCCGGCAAACCGCGTTAGGAAGAGACGGGATAGAGTTCACATACCGGGAGTGAACTATGGTGCAGGCGCTCCGGACCCCAGACGGTGTCTGCGGCCATGTGAGACTTCAGCAGGTCCAGAGCAGCCCGGGCACTGCACACCCGCCTTCTCCACGGCCGCAGCCCCGCACACCGCCGCCCTCCAGCCGCCCGCTCCCCCCGCCCCACTCACCGAAGTACTCCTTCTTCATGTGCATCTCCAGCTCCTTCTCCAGCTCCAGCGTCAGCGCCTCCAGCCGCCTCTCCGCCTGGCTGGGGCCGCTCTCCCGGCACGGCGTCACCTGGTAGGGGAGCTTGAATTTGGGAGCCGGAGCGGAGCCTTTGGTCGGGCTGTAGGCGTAGGGGGGCGGCTCGGGGGCGCCGGCCGGGTGCTGCTGGTCGTGCCGCGGCGGGGACTGCGCGTGGATGCGGTGGTACACGTCCCCCAGCTCGGGCACGGCGCCGTCCTCCTGCAGGCCGGGCCCCAGCAGGGACGAGCGGGGCGACGGCAGCTGCAGCTCGGGATAGGCGCTCATGGAGCCCCGGGAGCTCCGCGAGCTCTGGCTGGAGATGCTGGAGCGGGGGCTGACCACGGCGGGGCCGGCCGAGCCGCGGCCCTCGGGGCCGCACAGGCTGGAGCGGGGGCTGGCGAGGGCGAGCCCGGTGCCGCCCTCGGGCTCGGCGCTGCCCGGCGGGCCGTACCTGCAGTCCGAGTAGCTGGAGCGGGGGCTGGCGGTGCAGGAGTACTGGCTGGCGGTGCTGGAGCGGGGGCTGGCGTGGCGCTGGTCGTAGCCCATGCTGATGCCGCTGGTGCGGTTGCTGCTGGGCTTGCTGCCGCCGCCGTCGTAGCCGGTGAGGCTGGCGCGGGGGCTGGAGTGTTTGCTGGTGTCGCTGGCCGTGCTGGCGTAGCTGGAGCGGGGGCTGAGGGCGGCTCCGTCGTACTGCACCAGGCTGGCGCGGGGGCTGCCGTACTTGTCCTGCCCGGGCACCACCAGGCTGGAGCGGGGGCTGGAGAACTTCTCGTAGGGCAGCGCGACCGCGCCGCCCAGGCTGGAGCGCGGGCTGGAGAACTTGCCGTGCTCGGCGGCGGGGCCCGGCGAGGCGGCGGCCAGGCTGGCCCGCGGGCTGGCGGCGCCGAACTTGCCGTCCGGGCCGCCGGGCGCCCGCCCGCCGCCCTTGGCCACGTAGCCGCCCTCGTAGGCGCTGCCCGCGGCGTAGCGGTAGCCCTCGGCCGAGTAGCGCTTGCCCTTGTCGGCGAAGCCGCTGTAGCAGGGCAGCGCCACCTCGGAGCGGGTGCACAGCCCCTCCTCGCAGCACGGCGGGCCCGCGCCCGGCTCGCTGGCGGCGCGGCCGCCGGGGGGAAGCCTTCGGCGGGCGGCGGCGGCGCGGCGGTGCCGTTCATCTTCCGGCCCCGCTGCGCCGCAGGGGGCGGCGGCGGGGAAGCCTTCGGCGGGCGGCGGCGGCGCGGCGGTGCCGTTCATCTTCCGGCCCCGCTGCTGCTCCGCCGTCATGTGGGCGGCGATGACCCGCTTGGTCTCCTCCAGGTCGGGGTGCAGCACCAGGTCCCGGCGGCCGCCCCGGCCGTACGGAGCCTCCGGGCAGGGCTCGTACAGGGACAGGTCCTCCATGAACTTGGTGGCCTTCAGTGCCATGTCCTCCTCGTACTTCTCCATGCTCTGCCGGAGCCCGGCGGCGCGGGGCGGGGAAGGGCGGTGAACTCTCCGCGAAAGCGCAGCCCGGAGCGGAGAAAGAAGAGAAGTTTTAAAAAAAAATAAAGAAAAAAAGCCAAAAAGAAAAAAAAATTAAAAAAAATTAAAAATCCCCAAATCCAGCAACACAAAAAGCACCCCAAAAGAAAGCCCCTTCCCGCGGTCCTGGCGGGGCAGCGGCGGGACGCGGCTCCTTGTCCGGAGAGCTGCGAGGCGGCGGCCGGGCTCGGGCGGTCACCCGGGCGGCATCCCGCGCCGCGGCGCTGGGCTCGGTGCGGCCGGGCTGCCCGGCGGAGCGCGGCCGGCGCAGACGAGGCGCCCCTGTGTCACTTTCCAGCCTTAAATAAGTTGCTCGGTCCAGTCAATGGCGCGCTGCGCGGAGGAATTTGCGCTCGGCGGGTGCCTGCCCCCGCCGCCCCCGGCGGCCGCCCCGCCGCGGCCCGCTTCCCGCGGTCCTGGCGGGGCAGCGGCGGGACGCGGCTCCTTGTCCGGAGAGCTGCGAGGCGGCGGCCGGGCTCGGGCGGTCACCCGGGCGGCATCCCGCGCCGCGGCGCTGGGCTCGGTGCGGCCGGGCTGCCCGGCGGAGCGCGGCCGGCGCAGACGAGGCGCCCCTGTGTCACTTTCCAGCCTTAAATAAGTTGCTCGGTCCAGTCAATGGCGCGCTGCGCGGAGGAATTTGCGCTCGGCGGGTGCCTGCCCCCGCCGCCCCCGGCGGCCGGCCCGGAGGGGCTCTGCGGCGCGGCCAGCGCGGCGCGGGGCGCGGCGAGGCAGGGACTCCTTTGTGTGGGGCAGGAATGCGAGGAAGGAGACTGGGCGCTGCGTCCCGCTGGAATGTAGCTAATGCCGGAGCCAAACAATGATTTTCCCCGAGTCAGTCAGGGAGAGGGCGGCCGCGGCGCTGCTCGGCGGCGGGGTCGGCGGCTCCCTCCTCGGCCGGGGCCGGCGGCGGGGCTGTCACCGCGCCGGGGGTCCCCGCGCGGGGCACGGAGCGCTCGGGGTCCGGGCCCGGGGGGGCTCCGCCGCCCGCGCCCCTCGCTGGAACTTTGCGGCGGAGCCGCGGCCTCGTCCCGCGTGGGGAAGGGGCGGCTGCGCCCCACCTGCGGCCGGGGCTCCCCGCACAAACACCGGCATCGCTGCGGGGGCCGAGGGTCGGGAGCAGCCCCGCACCTGTGCGGAGTCCCCAGCGCTGGCCAGGTGCCTCCGCTGGAAGGACTTGTGTTTGTAGCACGGCAGCTGAGGGTTGTTGCCAGTTATTTATTAAGTCTTAAAAAAAAAAAAAAAAGAAAAAAAAAAAAAAAAAAAAGGAGGCAGCGCTAAGACATATGATAAACATATTGTGGCCTAAAGCAATCTGTGAGCTGACGGGAGTGTAAAAAAGCAGCTACTGTGCGTGTGACTGCAAGAGCTTGGTCTGTTGATCGGTGACGAACAGCCCGGCACGGCTTGCTATTTACATCTGTGTGCTCACGGGGAAGGATGTCAGAAAACGACCCCTCAAAACGGCAACTGAACGAGACCCGATCCTCAATACTGAACTGTAGCCTACAGGTTTTTTGGTTTGGTTTGGTTCATTTTTTTTTGCAGCTGAGCTGCAGCTCTCTGGCAATCATTTGTGTTGATGGCAGAAATGCTGACAAAGCCCTAACAACAGGTATCTGACAGGTGTCCTTACACTGCTGGGTGCTGAGCACCCTGCAAGGAGAGAAATACTGCTCAGGTTTGAGCTATAGGCACTCTGCTGTGCCAAGAACATTTTATTCTGTTATCAGACCTAATTAAACATTTAAAGCAACTGTGCATTCAAAAAAGTCCCCATCAGTGGAGGGCAATTGATTGGCAATCGTTTTCTTGTGTGTGCAGGGGTGGCAGGAAAAAAACCATGTAAATGTGCAGAGCAAGACCTGAAAAACAAACCTGTTAAGCATGACAGAGGTAGTCCATGTCCATGTGGACATACATAAGCAAACACCACCACTCTTGGGAATCAAGTGCTCTTTTCTGTGTTCACATCTTTCATTTCACTTTTTGCCCATCTCCTAAACAAGCTGTTTCCACGTGTGGTACTTGTGGAACGAGTCACATTTCAGCCCGCAGGTGTGGAATGTGGAAGGCACCTCTGCAGCAGGGTGTCCTGGTGCAGTCCCTCACTGCTGCTGCTGCTCCTGCTGTTTGCAGCAGCAAACACTGCCCGGGAAGGTGCCCTGGCTGTGAGGGGGATCACAGCAGCAGCTCGAGTCCCCATCCCATTCAAGCCACAGCCCCTGGTCAAGTTGTCAGCACAGACATGAACCGTGCTGTCATCCATGCCACAGGGACACATCCCTTCTCTCACAAAGAGAGCTCCTCCCACAGAGCACTTGGAGACCACCTTTGACTTGAGGCTTCATCTGCCCCACCTGGGATGGAGTTTGTTTGTGGCAGTGGGCATCTGATGGCCTGCTGCCCTCCAGTGTAGTGCTGCAGGGCTCCTTGGATTGTCCTGGGGCCTGTGTGATGCTGTTCTCTCCTGTTACTGCCTTAGCACCACTTAGTGTCAGTTTTTGTAAGGTTGTCTTCCTGAGAAACTCGGAGAGGCTCATGGATAGCTTGGAAGGTTGGCCCATCAGAGCCCATGTCAAGAAAATGTACTCTGTTTTAAGGGGAACTTGTTTTGTTTTGGGGTTTTTGTTGTTTTGTTTTTCATTTGAAGTTTGTTATTAATCTGACAGAGTGGGTAGGACATGCTGGGAAGCCCTGGCTGAGTGCTCATGCGAGGAAGCATTTTGGGCAGGTATCCTTACAGCAGGAACTGCAGAGCTGAAGCTGCAGCTCATGCTTACAGCAGCAGTGTCCTTCTGTAGCTCTGTTCTTCCAAGCCTCAAATCTGCCCTCGCTCTGCCTTTTGAGGCTGCTCACTTTCTGTGCTGCTTCTGCTGCCAGCAGGTTTCTGCACTAAGTCTATTGGTGCTTGAGTCACGAAAGCATGGACTTTGTTAGGTATGAACTCATGGGAAAAACATACTGGGGAGTCTAAGGACACAGCCCTTAAGTAAGCAGTGTGGATCAAATGGTAAAAATCACTCTTTTGCTGTTAGAAAGCTTATGCTTGATAAATAACATCCTAGTACCATGTTCTCATCTCAGCCGGGCCGCAGGGACAATGCTCCTGGCCCCCTCTTCACCAGGGAGTTGTTCTTCTGTCACACACATGAAGAAATTCACGTTCACCAGCAGTACAGCCCTAGGTGTGGGCTGTACAGGTGGAATAAATGTGCTTGCAGTGGTACACAGCACTGCTGCACTGCTCACAGAGCACCATCTGTACCAGGCCGTGCAAACAAAGACTGGAGTTAAAGCTGCTCTTGCTGTACTGAGTAGCCCCATCATTCTCTTCACTGTTACATACGTGAAAATCCAAAATACTGGATAGTTACAGCCTGACAATCCTGATGTGGTTTTATCCCTACCTAATTTTCAAACTACTTGCTTAATTATAGCAACCAGCAGTAACATGTATATACTGCAAAAAGACTGACACTTCTGCAACTTAGAGCACAAGAGCCGTGGGAGTGTTATTAAAGCTGAACGTCATTTCATGGTTTGGTGTGGTTATCCTTATGCCTGATTTTAAGTTATCTCAGTAAATCAGCCATTAAGGAAAGCCAGCTGCTTGTGTTAAATAAACTCCATTGTCTAAGACTTAAAGGGAGCAGAATAGCCAGGTGGAGTTATTGATCTGTGACTATCAGCTGGCCAGGCCCCCCAGGCAGGGCTCTCCTGTCCCTTTCATTGCCAGCACAGGAGGGAGAGCTGCTGCTCTGCCGGCCTTTGCTTCCCCGGGCTGCAAACAGTTTATTACCAGCAAGGCAGGGAAGCTGTCAGTGTGAGAACTCCCCGCGGAAACTTCAGCTCGGGTGAAGACAATGGCAAAAATCCCCCAACTTGTGTTGTGGTGTGTGTGCGTTACATCAGACCTGACACAATGCAGGAGGGAGTTCTTTGTCTCACTTCATCAACTGAACAATCTGAAGCTGCTCTGCAGATTTGCCTACTGAACTGGATGCTACCTGCTTTTCTGCAATTTATTTCTTTGTCTCAAGCATTAGGAAATCAATGACATACACAAGGTAACTGTTTTCCACTTTATAATTGAGAGTTTCTTCATAAGGAACACAAATGATTATTCTTTTATCTCTGGTCTGTTTTAAACCTGATGGGAAAAAAAAAACCCAAACAAACACAAAATCCCCAAAGAGTTGTGAAATTAATTAAAAAATTATGCTAAGAAGTGTTTATATTGTGGGATGGGAGACTCAAGCTTTGATTTTCTTTGAAGTGGTAGCTGTATTGGGTTTATATTGGTTTATTTTGCATGTTTGGATCCTGTATGTTAATTTGTGTTGTAATATTTTTACGTATAAGCCAATACTTTGGAATATGAAGTTTGGATGTTAATATGTATTTGGACTTGGGTGATTTGTTTGCAAATCACTCTGTTCTGACCTGTATTTTAAAATTATCATTTGCAGTTGATCGCAGCTTCTAAAAATTGCAATTCTAGAGCATGTTTTAGGGCACCATCTTCTGGCAGACAGCATACACTGTATTTGAATGGCTGCCCTCGCTAGGCACAACTATTTAAAATATTTCTGACTAACACTGCTCTGCAGGCTTACAGGTCATTTCTCATTCTAAATCTGCAATAAAACACTATTTAACATTTTTTACATTCTTCTTATTCACTGCAACTGCAGCTATTCACTGTGCTGCACAAACATAGCTTGGGACAGAGCCTGTAAAATTCCAGTCACAACAGGCGCTTTGTGGACGTGCCGGGGTGGACGGACAACATCTGTCCAAGCACTTATGATTAATGCACCATATATGTATCTTATTTCTTTTATAGCTTCATCTTCCACTTCTCTTACATATTTCAGATGATCACACTTCTGTCCAGCACAGTTTATGGGCTCATACTTTGGAGGCTGCACAGGGCACTGGCCATGATTCCTTGCACTCACAGGACACAGCCACTTGTATTCCAGTGCAATCAGTTAGCAACCACTACATTTGCATAAATCCATCATTTGCTTGGCCAGCTCAGTTAGCAGTGCACCTACTTGGTACTTTTAAGGAGGTCTGAAGTTATGTAGCTTCTGATTTCAGAGACTTGGAGGAGCTACACTTTCTGTTGATATGATAAAAACAAAGTCCTGATTATGACCCTGCAAACCTTCATCCAGCAAGGAATGAGAGAGCATTAGTGCACTGAATAAAGGACAGGAACACTGCATGAGGTCAGGCTGCCAGTCACATGGCCCCCTCTGCTCTGGTGGTGAGAACTGTCAGCCTGACTCTATGTGCCTCTTCATACCCATTAAAGAAACGAGGCAGGCTACGAGCACTGACCTCCTGACCTGGCAGCACAACACACTTCAGATGTGATGAGAAGGATCATTT